CAATGCATCATGTGACATATGTTATTAACTGATGCTTTAAAGTGGCTAAACAGTTGAATCTTGAATCAGCGTCTCTCTTGTGCAGCTTATTTCGCCGCATGGTGTGAAGGTAGACTGCCACTTTCCCCTGTGGCTGGACTGCTGAAAGCTCACATCAAAGTGTTGTAAATGCTATTCTTGGCATGCTGTCAGACATTCTTTTTCCACAGACTTTTATCAGTAAAACACTTGAAACGACAGACTTCAATTTTGCTTGTTTTCTGTGAAGTCAGTTGAGGACAGGTGCGTTCAGATTTATCCATCTAAAATGGTTTTGAGAGAAAGATTTCCTGTTTTTGTGTGTTGCCGGATGGCTCGTCTTGTTTTCTCTCTCTCGGCTCATTAATGATCCTTCAGAATGTCAGTTTGACAATTCAGTTCCCCTCGAGCGAAATACCAGAGAGGTGTTAGCGAAGACTGAGCAATGCTGATTAGCAAGAACCCAACACTGTCATTACTGTCATTCTGGGACATGATCAAGTAGTTGGGGTGGACTGGGAACGCTCTTGTGTGTGTGTGTACTAAAGTGTGAATGCCAATGGGAACGTCAGATGAAGGAATCCCAGTTGGCACAGCAGGAGATAGGTGTCGGTTAGCCAGTCTGTCAATAGGTGCAGTCTCATCAAAAAGCTTGCGCTGTTCAATTTCTGCTTCATAACAACGTTCCCAAGCTAATATGGCTTATGTAATTGCGTGTTTTCATTTAGCATATGTGGATATAGCGTTGAACCAACAGCCTCATTCAAATGGGCTTTGGTGTTAAATCATGTCCTCATTCAATTTTTACTAATTTATGTGAGAATTAGTGCTGAGAGGAGCAGGAATTTTAATTGACGAGGACCATTTGACGTAAAGAGCGTTTTAAATTGAAATGCCAGACTAATTATAGCTTAGAGTAAAATGGTGTTTACTCACCTGGTATCTGCTTAAAGGCTGTTCTTTGGTGTCTGTAGTGACATTTAGAGAGTGAGAAGTGAAAGAACGTGCATCGTTTGATTTAAAACCTGCACTATATAATTAAAGGAATCACATCTAGGGAAGAGAGGTGTTAGGAACTGCCCCGGCAGCGACACCAAGCATCAACTGACATTTTCCCCGAACGACTGAGTCACGCAGCAACTGGCAAAATTCAGATAAATTATAGTTTAAGCCACTGTTTGTTTGTTTTTTTTTTTCTTTGTCATTAATACGGAGAGCAAAGAACAGCCCTCATTGCGTAGCTTTTATGCAATGCATTCTCTGGCCTCTTGCATCAGAACGTCTGATAAACATTAATCACAGAATTGACATTAAATTTGCAGTTGCATCACGTGTGATGTGTGGGTGAAGAGAAAAATGCAGACCAGCCAGAGAAGCAGGTCGATTACATCAAAAGAGTCCGACTGAGCCATCGGTTGCTTAATGCGAATAAATCCAAAAAGGCCTTTTGGAAAAATCAAAGCATCTGATTTCACAACAGTTTGATGCAATGTGTCAGGCCGCTGCTGGTTGTAAGATTCAGCAGTCGAAGGAGGGCAAGCAGTCACAGGCCATGATTTCATTCTGTTCAGGCTGTCAGAGCCCAGAGGACGATACCCTCAGGAGGCGCCTGCTTTCCCCTTCTCGACGTCTTCAGTGTTTTTGTCCTGGGTAAGGGAATGAAAGAATGTTTGCTTTTCATTATTTGCATACAGATAAAAGAGGTGTAATGATGTAAGGTGGCTGTTTTATCTCTGTTAACCTGTTTAATGCCATTGCAACAAGGAAATTCCACAATGCATTAAATGCTTACACCGTAACTGTACTCAAAGGATTCAATCTTTGTGTCGGTCCTTATTGCATCCTTTATGTCGAAACCTTTAAAAAACCAAAGTGCAAAAGGAATCACTGAAACTTAAGCACTACATGTGGCTAACGCACTCAAACCTTTTCTACGTGAGGCATAAATCTAACCTTTGCCATACTGGTCCAGATATGCGATGCTAATCTAAGCAGCCAAATCAGGTCACAGGACTACTGTCACGCTACACTGAATACAGGAACAGTTACATTAACATACATTTCCCGCATGTAATAATAATAATTATAGCTTTATTTGTCGAGCAGTTTTTGAAAACAAAGTTACAAAATGCGTTGCCATTAAACCAATGTCCCATTGGACCAATATTGGCGACGAATTCAGCAGACAAATGACACTGCAAACATGAAACAGAGGCCCAATAAAATAGTTAAATCAAGTCAAGGCAAGTCAACAACGTTTTTATTAAGTACTTCTAAAACAACAGCTGCTGCGCCAAAGTCCCTTCCAGTAAAAAAGGATTATAATTGGCATTATCAGAGAAACCCAACAAGACTAAACATTGCAGTTGCCACCCTGTAGTTTCATTTAAACTGGGATTAAACCTGAGTAATTCACTTAAGAGGGATTAAACCCTACAAAAATAAGACAAAATGGGACTTTGTTTTGACAATAATATAAATAAATATTAAGGCTGAGACCTGACAGTGGTATTAATTATGGAAAATAACTTAGCTAATGTCGTAATAAAGCCAGACACTACAGTACGAATTAGAGAATTTAACCTAACTGACATACATACTGTGGCTCAAACCCTTCAGTGTTGATAATATTTGGGGTAGATTGACTAATTTATTGCAAAATGCTTACAATTTCTTTTAGAATATTGGGTCTATTTTATAGTTGTATTATTATATTTTATCTGCGACACAGGGTAAAGACTTCCTTGTAACAGGAAGAGACCTCCAGGCACAGGGAAGGCTGCCGTCTGCCTCGACTGGTTGGGGTGAGGGGAAAAGAGAGAAACAAACAGACACAAGCAAAAAAAAAAACCATGAAGCATGAACATAAACCTGTTTAGCTCCAGAGCCAGAAACATTTACGAGACATACAAGGAGAGAGACAGCAGAGAGGACAAAGCACAAACTACAAGAGAGAGAGAAGATGCAACCATCCATCCATCCATCCATTATCTATACACCGCTTTATCCTCTCTAGGCTCACGGGGGGGCTGGAGTCTATCCCAGCTGATTAAGGGTGAAGGCAGGGGACACCCTGGACAGGTCACCAGTCTATCACAGGGCTACACTTAGAGACAGACAACCAAGCACACTCACATTCACACCTACAGACAATTTAGAATCACCAATTAACCTCAACATGTTTTTGGACTGTGTGGGAGGAAGCTGGAGAACCCGGAGAGAACCCACGCTGCACGAGGGGAGAACATGCAAACTACACACAGAAAGATTCCGAGTGTCCTCACCGGGACACGGACCGGCGGCCCTCTTGCAGCGAGGCAACGATGTTAACCACTGGGCCACCTTGCAGCCCATGATGCAACCAGTAACAAGCAAAAGCAAATATGACTGAATGGAGACCATGACAAAACCTGACTTTGTGTGGCAACAACAATACTGTCATTAGAAAAAACAAGTAATATGATAAAAGTGATGCTGAAGAAGAGGTTTAATGGAGGGTATTCTGTTTGCCTGATGGAGATCTTTAGACAGAAAGTTTCATAGCCTTTGATGACTGAAAGTTGGAAACCATCAACAGATTAATATGGACCATTATTAGTCTGACTCACCAGGTGTAGACTTCAGTCATAAGCTACCATTTCACATTTGCTGCAGGATTCTCTTTCCTTTCAACTATCTACATACATAACTATTTTCAAAAGGCCCTTCATTATGGGAAACGTCTATTTTTGAACAGCAACCTATACTGAAACTTTTATGTCTCCGAAATAAGGCAGCCCGGCTCGTTTGTCATTTTTCAAATTTGTTTGTGTTTGCTTTTCAGACACTTTTACAGAGTTTTATTTAACTTGAGAACAACAGACGTCAGCCAGAGACAACTTTCTCAACCAACTCTTTGAATGAAAGTTAGCTTAATTAGCTAGTTAGCCACAGCTGCTAGCTAGGTTGTACTTCCTGTCAACAGAACCCATAGTGTCCTGCTACAAGTGAGAGGTCTCCTATGTCTACCTGTAACATCAAGGACCCTTTTTTGATCATTTGAAGTGGTAACTCTGCCTTCATTAACATCATTATAGAGGCGCTGCACAATAGCAGAAACCTCGACCCCTGTAGCAACAATAACTCAAATCAGGGAAGAGGGGACTTTGAGATGAGCAATTTTTTCCTACAAAGTGCAAACGTAGGCTAAAATTTGCCATTCCTTGTCGATGGTGTAAATGAATGTGTTGAACTCTTTATTGGCTCTCGAGTAGGCGACACCTACTCGGCACAGCAAGTTCAGACTGATAGTAACAGTGACAAAACGCAGGAAGGGTGAAGGCATTACTGTCAGGCACAGTGGGGAGATGAAAACTTTATGACGCTGACGCTGTCTTTTAGGTTCAGCCAAGAGCTGAAAACTCAGGAAATTCAAAGAACCACGCCAAAGTCAAACTTCAGCTCATCACTTTACTAAGACTTTCCAACATATTGAGAGGCAACCACCTCAGTGTCCTCCTCCACCAAAGCTGTATTTATGTTGAAAGCTGTGCAAAGTGTACTCTAGTAAAATAACACATTAAGTAGAATTGTCCCTTCCGGCGTCTTAGATAGCAATATATATTATACTGTTGCATTATATTACCTGATGTGCTAATGTGTGTGCAACATGTTAATGTTACAACAGCCAGCAAGGGAATAATAACGTAGCCACTGACTAATGCCTGCAGGAGAATTTCCATTTCTCAGCTGCAGTGAGGTCAGAGGTCAGGGTTAGCTGCCCTGTAGCACTTACTGAATGTCTTACAGACAGGTCAGCCGGGTGGATGGTGGCCGTAACGAGAGCTTGGCTCCAGGTCCTGTGATTGAACAGTTGCAGTGGTTTGTTCCACATGTGCCCCCCGACTCAACCCCGACCGTGTGTTCGTGACAGTACGGATTCCTGACACAGTGATTTTCATCGAGCTGCTGGCGCTGATACAACATGACCTGCTGGACACCTGGGCCCAGCTTTGTACTGTCATGCTGCAGTGTCTATTAGGATTAACATCCATCCACACCTTAACACACACACACACACACACACACACACACACACACACACACACACACACACACACATGCAGAGAGACGTGTGTGCAGTTAAAGGGATGCATAAGCGTACATGTATGTGCACATCTAAACTAATTTGCATGCATACACACACTAACACACATACAAACCTTCTGCTTATAAATCTATACATACTGTAGGTCATGCACACACACACACACACACACCCTCGTACCCAGACACTGACACACAAGCTGGAAAAACACACAAGTCCACTCACGTGCATTACAAGCTGAATGCTGCACACACACACACATCTATCTCAAATGCATGCACACAGGCTCATATAAAATGTAAATAAACGTACATGCGTTCTGTGTCTCACACACACATATAAGCTGTGCTGAGAACACACAGAGGACCCTGCCCTCTCGTATTGACTCTGCTTACTGTACATTGTTTCTCACTCACTGTTACCTTAGCACTTCTTTAAACACGGTGATCCCCACGTGAAAGATTAGCGGTAGCGACCGTTGTTGATTCTGCACCGTCTTTCTCGCCGGTGACAAGCTGGCTGACACATCCTGAATCGTAGCCTCTTTGTTATCGTTGGGTGTGTAAATAGGAAAGGCCATTTCTGGGCTGAATGTGGAGGGACAAGTTTGGGCTTAAGCTATATTACTGTCTGTCAGGCCATACGGGTCTGTTCGTGTGTGTGTGTGTGTGTATTTAAAGAAACAGCTCAACAATTTGGGAAGATGAGTTAATCAATACCTTCATGTCCATCTAACTCACATCCGTGCAGATTGGTAACATCAAGCCAATCAGATGTAGAGTACTAGTTACTGAGCTTTACAAGTGTTGCTAAATGAATTTTTTTTTTTAAATTTTTTATTTTGCACAGGACCAGAATACCTGCTTTTTGTCTGCATATGAAGCTAAGATTATGTGCTGTAGCTCAGCAAGAAAGGAAATCATTGTTTTTTCAAAAGAAAATGCCAAAATCTCATTCAACAGAAACTCTTCTAATTGTAACTCTGCACTCAAATATCAGACAAATATCTACTGCTGCTGGCATCACCTTTGGTCTGCACATGACGTTTTACCATCATGTTACTAAGCTTGTCCAGTTTTCTTAAGCTAAAATCAAATGTGTCTTGTCTTCTATGGATCTCAGACTATTATTTTCTTTATTTTCTCCCGTCTATATCACTGTAATTCCCTCTTATGCTACTTTAAACGCCTTAAAATTGGGTCAAAATGCAACTACAAGACTTTTAAGTAGAGCTAGCTGTTGGTCCCACATTACCCTTGTACTTGCATCCCTGTACAAGATTCTGTTGGCTAGATTTGGGATGCTAAATGACCTTTTCCCTCCCAGATATACTTCAGATCTCCTTCTTCATCCTTCCACTTCTGTGCCAATCCAGCCCAAAGACTTTTATCCATCCTTCCCTCCAACTCAAACAAAAAGTGCCTTTGCTGTTTTCAACCCTATGTGATCATCTATCAGATTGGCTGCGTCTTTGGAAGTGGCTCCTGAAAACCCACATTTGGTGCATCTGTTTGTCTCTGCACTGTGTTTAATTTTGTGATTTGTTTGTACTTTATTCAAGTTTCTCTGTATGTGAAGCACAATGTAGATGTATGTTTTTAAAAGCGCTTTACTTCCCTAATTACTTTTCCTTTCAAGGTTAACATCAAAAACAATAAAAGTGAGACAGAAAAACATCAGTCAGACTGAAACACGCCCTAAAAACTGCTCCTGCTGAACGAACATATTCAGATTTATTCCAGAAATATGTTATGCATTTTTTTACATCCTAGGCAACTTGGGAATGCAATAGCAATTTACATTAAGGTAAACTATGAATTAGCTAATTCTGTGTGATAAAAACCTTGTCTGTTTGGCTCTTCTTTCTTTGCAAAGTCAGAATTCAACAGCATCAACAACGTCTCCCTTTAATTTCCACATCGCCCCCCTTCTTTTTCATGCCACTTTACGGAGCACAATACTTTATCTGCTGCAATAAAACCTGACAGACACACTGACTGTATATGTGTTCCGCCGGTGTGTGTGTTCCCCATCCTGCAGTGTTATTTGCTGTTATCCCGGGACTCTGGCGGTGTTTGATATCGTCCCCTGCGGTGGCCTCTTTAGACCCTCTTTAGCGCCTGGTGGGGCAGCCCAAAGGCTAAGGCAAGCCTGTGATTGTAGCCCCCCACCGTGCCGGGAATGAGGGGCCTGCCTCCCTCCAATTACACCCAACCCAGCCCCATGAAACGCGGGGCTTTACGGCTCTTATCCAATATGAACCCCAGGCAATAGAGGGCAGGCAGAATAGGGCAGCAGCAGGTAGTAATGGAGCTTAAATGGCAACAGGCATTCCACAGTGTGAGGCCTCTCCCACTGCAGGAGACAGGTAGGGCGACAGGTGAGGGATGGATGGCACAGCCGGGGAGAAGGTTCACGCACAGAAACACGTGACACGCTAAAGCATGCCCGTGCATGTGCTGGCACACACATATTTTGTTGGTCAGTCACTATTAATATTATTTTAAAAGCCATTTTGCTTTAAATACAAATGTTTTCATGTTTCTTGCAAGTATCCTTAAAGAACAATCATAGACTTATTAAAGAAAGCAAGATAAAAGCTTGGAGATGGTCGGTTCTGGTGCATAAAACACTCAGGGGGGGAAGGTTTGGTTGCATGTTGGTGTGAGGCACACTTTGGCAGCTTGGGTGGAATGACTCCATCACATACCAGCTCCCTCCTTCCCATTGTTCTTAGAGTATTTTACAGTACATTTAAACCAAACACCTTTACACCTGTAAATTGAGCCATAGGCCATCCATAAATAGGAAGGACCCCAGGAAAGGGGCTGGACAGGTATTGTAGCCCCTGCTGTGAGCCCCACTGGGCAGCCCCGGGAAGCTCTGGAGCGGCAGCACATCACCGTGAAACTGTCAGTTATAAATCGGAGAGTTTCAGGGTGGTGCCTTTTCATGTGAAATCATACGAAATAACTTCCAGATAATGTGCATGACATATTTATTATGGACAGCAATGATTTTTGTTGTTTTATTTCTGCACAAATTCCAGGACAGGAAGGACTGATACGACCGCCACAACAGGGCCCGAGGTCGATAGCTGGACTCTCCTCCTCTGTGCTTCCCCAGTGGTGGAACCAGTTACTAAATTCAGTTCAATCTGCTGATTCCCTCTTAGTCTTTAAGAAAAGACTAAAGACCCAGCTCTTCACTGAACACCATTGCACTTGACAGACTGGAAAAAAACAAAAAAAACAAAAACGAAAATAATAAAATGTCCTATTACCTCCCTACAGCCTGCTATTTGCATCAACGCCCTGTCACACTTGAACTTGTTCTATGGCACTTATCTAGATTGTTTTGTCCTGACTAGATCCTTGCTTGTGTTGAATCCGCTCTCAGATGTACGTCGCTTTGGATAAAAGCGTCTGTTAAATGAAACTGTAGAATTGTAGAAAGATAACGTTCAAGACTTATAAGCACAACAATGATGTATCCCTCAACTGACGAACTGCACTTTATCATACAACATACACATGCCAACCTTCAAACGTCCATGTGTTTGTGTGATCACGCAAAAAAACTCCAAAATGTAACTTGTGAGAAGTGGACTAAGCTCTAATATCCCCACTGAGTTGGTTGTTTTTCAAAAGCAATTTTGCATAAAACAGGAACCACGTACCACTGGAATCACATTTTCTAAATATGTAAGCATACAATCACTGGCTTCTTTATTAAATACACGTGAAATCTCTCAACTACTTTTTTGTTTTTGTTGTCAAAAAAGGTAATAATTGTACTTTGTGTTTATGACTGAGGTTCTTGTGGGTGGTGGTGGTGTATTGGTTAAATTGTTAGGTGTTCCTAATATGCTCATTTATGTGAATGTGGTGGACAAAATATTAAAAACACTTTTAAATATAATGTGATACAAAGCACACCCGCTATGTGCTCTGACCTCAAGCATTTATATAAAGTAGGATTATCACCTTTATGACAACATCAACACATAGAAGCTTCATAAATGTAGAATTTATGGTAGAGCTGTTGTATTAGATTGCTTTAGATTTCACCGGGTGTACCTAATAAAGTGGCCCGTATGTATATATTGGAGGTTTTGTGTATCCTTTAAAAAAAAAGAACACAAGTCCATCTTGGTAAATGTACCTGTGAAAAACCAGGAGAAGACTGGTGATATCGACCAAAGGGGAAGGTGTTGCCCAACATGTAGTTGCCCCTGCTGTTAGCCCACTGTGTAAGCCCCATGTGCTAAACTAATAGCACCCCAGCCCAACTCCCTTCATGTCTTCTGGTGGGTTTAATTAAGCTAGCATTGTTCACATTTTGCTAAATGTATTTCCAGGGCAGTCATGTCCTAAACACCTGGCAGTAACCTGAGATGCCTTCCATGAATGACCATTGGGATTTTATGGTAGGTGGGACCCCAGGAAAGGGGATGGACAGGTATTTCAGTCCCTGCTGAGAAGCCCAGTGGGCAGCCCCATGAGGTAATAGTACCGACAGCACAACCCAGTGGAACTTCCATCCATCTGTCTGTCCATTTTCTATACCTGCTTTATCCTGTGGAGGGTCACAGGGGGGCAGGAGCCTATCCCAGCTGACATAGGGCAAAAGGGAAGGGTACACCCTGGACAGGTCGACAGTCCGTCCCAGGGCCCAGTGGAACAGTCTGCTAAAACCAAAGCTGTGTTGTTGTTTTTACCTCCAAATATGGAAAAAGCTCATACATGAATTTTTGTTGCATGACGTTGATGGGCTGTCCTCTGACGGTCTGTAGAAAACAGTCAGCCGTCAGCACAGACTGCAAAATTCCATTTTGGAAAGAAAAAAAAAAAGCGTTCAGTTCTCAGTGTTTTCACACCTAACGGCACATAAATAGTTCATTTTTC